AATCATACAAATATTAATTCACAAAATTGTACGCACTTGTCGATCATTGGTTTATACGCCTAGATAGAAACGGAACTATAGATAGCCGAAATTTAAAATATATACATGTATATTGAATATAAGAGAGAAACATCCAGAACCAATCTGATTTAAATTTAGATCAATATCTAATTTGCTTTGGTTCGTCGAAGTTATGAACATAGTACTAGTAAAATCACAGATTTATATATTTCAATTAGATTGATCTCGAACAGTTTAAGAAATTCATCATCATCACAATTGTTGGCTATAATGTAAAATAATGTGAACATGGTTCTAATAGTAACTTATTGTCAATTTTCCTGTTCCGACATGCATGTAATATATGCCACTGGACGTACACCAATGATCTTCAAAAAGCCTATTTGAAGAAATAAAGAAACCTCACTCCGGATAGTCTGAATTCTTAATCGAAATGACGGACAGAGTCACTAAAATACGCGCATGTACGCTGTGATAAGAAGGGGTTAGTCAACTCCCTAGGAAATATGTATGTGCCGCAGTTGCATAGTATTCATCATAAATCTATTTCAGGTTTATTTTTTCCTGTTATTTCTATAAGTTGACGCAGAGATATGTATACATCTCTAGTTAACAACAATCAACTAAATATCTGAATCTGATGAGACTTACCGTTCATCTCTTTCTTTTTTCTTCTTTTTTTTCTTGGGGGGAGGGGTGGGGGGTGGGCAGGAACATATACATTGTTAGATATACTGTTTCCAGGTTGGGGGAGTGGAGGTCACGTCTATCGAAAGTTACAAAATAAGAACGTTGTATTTATGAATTTACAGGAAGAATTCTGATTTTGGATGTATTTTTTTCAGTTCAGTGATTTAAATTGAGAAGTCAGAATTTAAATCGTCCCCCACCCAAGACTCCCCTAAAATCATGAATGGTCATGCTTTACAATCATCAGAATTTCTTTGATTTTCCTTGACATTTCCGGAAAATACAGAGCTACTTGTACAATACCTGTATGTGGTTATTTGACGTCCCATGAGGTCTTACGTATACAGGTTCACATTAATAATGGTGTTCAATACATATTTCTGATATAAAGTTTTATGACATTCACACTTATGCATGTTCTGTATACCAAATTCATATTTTATTTTCAGACCGAATGAGGATGAGAATATTTTCCAGGAAAAATATTGAGTATTAAATTAATTTCGGGAAATTTTTTTCTTTCTTGGTATTAAATCACAGAAACTTAAAGAATATACTGCTTGTCCGCTTTAAGAGTATTCTTGTCAGTTTAGACAGACATATATATATATGCGTATATATGTCTCTGGTTTAGAGTGGGTTTATGAATAAATGGTAAGTCTTGCAAAGGAACAAGATATAAAGCACATTGAAAATGTATTCCTCCGGTTTGTCTCCATTCCAAAAAGGAAAGTTGACGTTAATTTTTTTTAAACATCTTTGGTCAAATAGCTAAAGCATTTATACGTTGTGAGATTTAAAATATTTTAATAAAGGCATTCCCGATTAGGTAAATGAAAATCACTTTGGACGGACCAAACTATATGAATGCAATTGATAATTTTTTCTTCACATTTAAATATTCAAGGTAATCGATGATGATTTAAAATAGTACATATTTTAGTTTATACGCTCGTTTTCGTGGGCCATTTTTATTTAAAAGATTATTCAATTGAAAGTTATTCAGTATTTCGTTGTTACAATAAAATATACACCTATTTATTTAAAACTGAGCTAACGCAAAATATACAAAAAAAAAATTAAAACGGCGATTCAGGTATTTTGCCACCATATTCCTCCCCCAAATAATTTATTATTTTTCTGTCTCAAACTCGTATTTCTCTTTTATCATATATACGAGATGTTTTTCACACCTGAAACGGTAAACCTTTGAGGCCAAGTTAAACTCGAATGCTTGCCAGACTGAATTAAAAGTGAGAAAACATGCATGCATTTTTATTACATTATCAGTTATATGTGTTTGTTCAACATATCCGTCGGGGGAAAAATCACAAAAATATTTTTTTGTATGATTTACTTTTATTACTATAATGTTCATAACAAACATCCATACAATATTAATCGTACATTTTAATTTAGAAAGTTGCACGGCTGATCACTTTGCTTTCTTAATTATTAGTTGGTTAATAACTACGCACAATAGTCATCGAGCCGCTTTAAATCGCGTAATTAGATGATTAACGAACAAGACTTAAAATGAGATAAATTCCACTCCCGGCAGGCAATTTGTCTAAAAGTACGTCACAGTAAACATTAACTTCGAATAAATAAAATTAATGAATTCCAATTTTCTTCTTTATAAGTGTTAATATTCAATTAAAACTTGGTGAATATTTTTTATGTTATGAACATAATAAGATGATAAGTAAAAAATCGCGAATTTTCCTTTTAAGGAGTTTTGGTTTTGGATATCCATTTTATATTTGCACAAGAAGGTATGCAAGCAACAATAAATAAGTCAATAATCTGATTTTTAAAACAATTCAAAAACTACAGATGAGGACTACAATTATTTTCTATTATTTAACAGTTATTTCAATATGTCTTTTCTTTTATTCCAAGATATCTTAAATGTGTATGTAAAATAAACTTGTTTAAACTTCAATGTAAAAATTAGGTCATGTGACAATATTGCCAAGTATATCTACCAAATGAAGAGGATATTAACAACTATAAGTAAAAAGTAAAATAACACAAATACCTAACTCCGAGGAAAATTAAAAACGGTAAGCGTACAGACTTCAAAATTGAGAAAAACAATACCGTAAAGTCAGTTTTAAAAGTTCACATGATAAAACGGGAAGACGTCACAAGAAAAAACCAGACGGCTTTATTTAGGAAAACCACGGAAATACATGGTCATGAAACAAGGTCAGGCACATAATTAATGCAGTAGGTTTAACAGGATTGTAAATGCTCACCATCGCCATACTCCTCGGACAGTAGTACAGCAGCACATCCTAGGAACATACTCCAAAAATCAATTGGAAATGTGCTGACTCGTCATATAGACATGACGGACACAAAGCAACTAACAAGAAAACAAAAGATACAAAGTACGGATCTAGGAGTATCCGACAAAGTCGTTACACATTACACATCTACGCTGCAATGTGACAATGTCCTGACATCTTATAATTAAAATTTGATAAAGATCATAGCGTCGTGTTTTCGAAAGTTCAAATCACTGTTTGCTTAACAATACCAAATGAAAAATCACTGCATATTAGGCATTATGCGAGACATACCAACAACATAAGCATAATGAAAGGTCAAACTGAGGTCTGCAGCTTATGGAGAGGATCTTGTTAGTTGTTTAATGAGAATAACACATTATAATTACATTACAAATATATTTCATTATAATACTTTATTTTGATTGGCTAACAGCAATTTCGCGTCATTCTGAAATTGATCTTCTTTTCAAAATGAAATGTAACATTCATGATGACACGAGTTTCCACAATAAAGTGCAAAGGTAAATAAAAGAAAAACTTTATAGAAATCGTGTTTACACAATCCTAGCAAAAAATGTAATTATAAGTATTGAATGCTTTCAGTAATTTTATAGAGCTGTAAAAAGGTGATTTTTAGAATGAAGCGATTTCGCATTTCATACAAAATGTACTTCGGTCAACGCTTTTACACCCCAATAAATTTACAAAAGAAGCATTCAATTCTTAAATAAATATCCTGCCTTCGAAACATGCTTCTTTAATTACCTTCATAAGACACGCGAGGTCAATTTTCAGGACTAATTAACAGGAAAATAGGTATATCCGGTATGTATGTACCAAACAATCAAGAATAAATAAAACGAAACAAAAGTTCACTTTTCTCTCATGCTTTTACCCAAAGGCTATCGATAATGTGATAATGAAATAATACTAGTATGGAGATGAGACCAAACTGGTACTTGTCTTATCTTTTCCTCAAGAAATAAAAAATAACGTATTCATGTTTACGTTTTGCAGATAAATTATTTCTCTGTAACGCTACAGTGTAGCACTACTATTCCTATTTATATGTTCCACTTGATGCAATTTCGGAAGTTTTATCAGCAAAATTTTAAAAAAAAGTTTCTGAAGTCAACTGAATTTTATAATTTGTTCTTGTGTTGTACTGTTACACCATTATCCAAAGTTAGCGGAGGGTAGGCGCCTTCAAACATGTGAAACCCTGCCTTCATGAACCTGTCCTAAGTCAGTAGCCTATATTTTAGTGGTTATCGTTGGTTCATGTCTGTTATATTTGCTTTGTTATAAATTAGTTCGTTAGTTTTTCTCAATTAAATGGAATCATATTTTTCATGTCACGGCCTTTTGAAGAGTACCATTTTTTATGTTTTTTTTTCCTCATTGTTGAATCGTACGGATGATACAAATTGCTTACATCCACTTTATTTCAACTTTGGTTGATAGTTGTTTCATTGGCAATAGTACTACATCTCCTTTTTGTTTTGTATATATCATTTGTTTAACAGTATTTCTTCTTTTGGTGTTTAATAAAAAAGTTGATTACGAACAAAATATATAATTTTAATTTCTACTCGATTATTTGTCCGGTTATTATTTTCCTACAGTTCTAGTATTTTCGAAGTCCAACACGTTCAGTGTTAGAGTTTTTGACTTCGTCAAATGTGTCTTATCATCTTAGGTTTTATAAGCATGAATACAAATAAGCAATGTATAAACAAATAAAACAAACTCCAACATTACAAAAAGACAGAAACAAAACCAAAAAGATTTTGGAAGGTTTGTACAATGAAATGACAAAGAACTATTAAAAACGTTTGTTATGAGAAAACGGACATAGTTATCCGTTTTTTAAAAATCATCAGTGTTGGTTATGCCACTTTACAGCGCAGGCAGTAAAGTTTTAATAAGCTGTAACAAGAATGTTAAACTGTACACCACTTCTATCACAATTCGTTTGCTTTGTTATAATTCTTTCAAGGAGTGTTGAATGTAGATCAAATTACTATGCCATAACTTTTTTTAATTTATCATGTTCAATGACATAAACAATATTTGACGTAATACAATCATAGAATGTGAAAAATGCATTCATGGTGTCTTTTTACATCTAAAAAGAATCAAGGTAAACACTGTCTACCTATAAAACACAGAGTCGAAATACACACAGAGAATATGGTTGGTATGTAACATACATTGGTCTGTATACAAAACAGTGACATTAGTATATGTTCACTGAAGTCTTCTCTAAAACATTTAGAAAGAAGAACCATGAACATTATAAAAATTATACTCCTTTGGAGCTTAACAGCCTTACAAGAAGGTAAGTTATTTCATTTGTTTTATTAAAACTATATACTACGATATTTCCATTAGCTATTTATTAGTTCATTGATGACTGTTAAAGGTTAAGACCATGCACCTTTCAACGGATATATGCGGTGTCTTCAATAGCTTACAAAATACTCACATTCTTCTCATCATGCTTGATAATCAAGATAACACAATTTTCGTATCACACTCCGTTCAGAAATAAACAACAAGTCACAGCCATAAGAGAATATTATAAATGTAATACGTAGTGTGAAGAATGTTGTTATTCAAAGTCTTTGAATTTAAAATATGTTAAAATATACTTTTTCACCTGAAAATGTTGTGTGTGCTGTATTTAGACCCCTCTACCAAGAAATTTGTTTTAGCATGCACACGTATACAAATTTCGGTTTTTATCCAACGCAATCATAGCTTTGAACGTTGTTTTCAATTTAGACTCGTTTATATTTTTTCATTTGGGCTTGTATTATATTTGCCTTCGGGTTTATATAATCCGTTCATCCTATTTCGACTCTTCAAAATTCAAGAGTCAATCCTGAATTGAGATAAATCATATGGCCTTCCAAAAACCGTTTCGATTCCTAACATCACTGAAGAGACATTAATTGTCGAAATCTGGATATGGTGTACAAATTTTTTGCACCTCATGTTTGCGGTATACCATCTTTTCTGCAAGCTTATTGTTTTCTGTTTGGTATTAAATTAATAATTAAGATCCATTTTGTTACATCTGGTGATCTTTTTATTTGGCAATCGCCATTGCAGTCAGCAGTGTTTAAGAACATCCGTTGTTCGACCTGCTAGTCAAATGCGCTCTGTTAAAATATACTTATTCACTTTTATGTTTTTGGTCTTTTGGAAAATGTTGTTTGTGTTGTATTAAGAATCCATTACCAAGAAATTTGTTTTGCATGCACACGTGTAAAATTGCGGTTTGTATCCAACGCAATCATAGGTTTTAACTTTGTCTTCAATTTAGACTTGTATATATATATATAAATTCGAGCCTAGGTGAGCGGGTGGTCTAGCGCGCCGGACATAGTGTAAGTCGATTTGGTGCCACGATATATCAGTAGCATAAGTTCGAATCCCGACCAGGAAATAACAAAAATTTGCTTCAGCAAATTTACAGATATAACATTGTTTGGCTGTTATTTAAACGAATTATATATACAGAATGTGTTTTCAGCCTTGTATCACCATCACTGCTGATCTGATGGATAAAATCTGCCATAGATTTGTCACTGGTTCAGACGTACTTATATATATAAAGTATGAGTTTTTACCAATGCTTTATGTTCTACATTGATCCATATCATAGGTTTCAACAAAAATTCTTAACCAATATGAAATTGTTTAAATTCTCTCTTTTGGTTTATTTAAAGGATTTTGATGGACTGTAATTTGAATAAGTTTTTCTGCAGATCTTTTATTCAAATAGTATTTATGTTAAGAAGTATATTAATATTTATATTCTTGCAGCTAAAGCTTATAGCAATGAAACGAAATGTAACGTTCAAAATACCATTGTTGATTGCTGCAATTTAGTCTTGACCACAATACCGAGGCACCTACCAGTAAACGCGACTCGTCTGGACTTAAGTAGAAACAGCATCAAAATAGTCAGAAGCTTTGCCTTTCAGTCATTGCGATACATCACGGACCTTTATTTGGAAAGAAATTTGATACAATTAATCGAGAAAAATGCTTTCCATGGGTTACATCGTCTACGAAGTCTGAATCTCAACGACAATTCTATAAAATTATTTCCCAACGGCATGTTCGACAGATTGAATGGTTTACAAGATTTGTCAATTGTAGACAATAAACTACAATACTTCCAAGATAATAAAATAACAGAAATATTAAACATGATAAAAAACTTGTCACTGAGGAAACTTTCGTTTGACATATATCCAGATTTCAAATTTCCCAGTGAATGGTGTACGTTAAGTAAGATGGTCAACTTGGGGATTTTCGCCAGGTCGGCAAAAGTACAATTCAACAAGGAAATGTTCGTTCATGTTAACGTATTGCAAATAATGTCTCTATACATCGATGTTGTGCCGTTCATATCGGAAGATTTTTTCGAACATTTTCCTAAATTAGATTCAATAACACTATCAATAGGTAGTGATTTACCTAACAATCCAATCGACCAAGTATTCAAATCTTTTGGAGTTTTCAGAGGAAGGAACCTGACAAACATTGAAATAAAGTCTGGCAGATTTGATAACGGGTTTACACTGAATCACAAGAGAATGAAGTATTTATGGTCAATTTGTTTGAAACGACTGACATTGAATAACCTATATATTAAAGACATACTTATATATGCGTCGCAAGTATTTTCTATTCAAAGCACGTGTCTTGAGTACTTGGAGATTTCTGAAAATATCATCATGGACCGGGGAGGTTCTATTTTTACCGTTTTTCAGAACTTTAAAAGTTTGAAAGTTTTGAAAATCAAAAGTAATTGGCGTCGTTCAAGAAGTAAACGCTCGCAGCCATCACGATTATATACATTTAAACTCGTATTACCAAAAACTCTTAAAGAGCTGTATATAGAAGATGACATGGCTTGTGATATGGTCAATGTTAAAGTAATAAACGGTCTTAATCTTCGTGTGGTAAGCTTGAAGGACAATGACATCTGGTCATGCGAAGGAAGTTTTGCAGGAGTTATAAATGTAGAGTATTTTGATATGTCTGGATGGACATGCGAAAAGCTGTCAATCAACTTACTATATGGCTTTCCAAATTTAAAGACATTGAAAGCAAGTAGGTCACTTCTAGGACATGGATTTGTCAACACTGCTGGAGCAGGGTCTTTCTTAAGAAAGAATCTGAGATTGCAAGATATTAATCTTTCGTCTAATAAGATACACAGTATACCAAATGGGTTATTTTTGAAGCCGTTTGAGCAGTTATCATCAGTCAACATGTCACATAACTATCTCACAATATTTCCTAAATTTCATGCTAGGATAAAAGCAATGAAAATAATTGATTTGACATTTAACCGTATAACACACTTCAAAGACGATGACATTGACCAAATTGAAAAGCTTGAAGAAGTTGATATATTCTTGAGAGGAAACCCATTTCAATGTTCCTGTGAAACTTTACAGTTTTTAAAGTGGTTAGGTCAGACAAACCGAGTACCGGATATTTTAGATCTGACCTGTGTAACTGAAAAGGCTTCCCGTAGGTTTATGTCTGAAGTTATATCCAACTTACAGACATTTGAGATTTCCTGCAAAACGAAATTCTGGTTGGCGTTTGCTGTGTCTATAACTTCCATTGTGGTAATTGCCATAATAATAACCGTTATATTCTTTCGATATAAATATGCTGTTGAGTACGTTTTATTAAGATTGAAAATGAAAATGAAAAATTACAAAGAATTGAGGCAGGAATATACTTATGATGCTTTTATATCATATAGTCATACCGATTCGGGTTGGGTTAAAAAATTCCATGACGTAGTAAAAAGTATGGGCTTCGAATTATGTCTGGACGCCAAGGACTTTATTGCTGGTTACGGTATAGCAGAAAATGTTATCAATGCAATCGATTCCAGCAGAAAGGTTATATTCATTATAACTCATGATTTCTTAAAGAGTACTTGGGGGTCGTATGAAATGGAAATGACTCGCATGCATGCTTTTCAGAAGGGAAGAGAAGACATGGTGATTATTGTTGTAAGGGATAAGATAAAGGTAAATGATATGCCGGAAATATTAAAGAGTATGTGGTTTAAAATTACATGTATCCAATGGCCAAACGATGACAACTTGCCATACAATACGAAGGAAATATTTTATGAAAAGATGAAAATGTCTCTGAAAATGAAGGAAGAAACTACTTTATTATATTCTAGAAATTCAGCAGTATAGAGCGTTTGTCATCATTGCAGTTCAATAATCAAATCTAGAAAAAATTCTTTGGTTAGTAGCTATTATGTTTATAATGATGTGATAAGAACAATGACACAAGAGAGAGCAGAAAGAGGACAAAACCAGGCAATAATTTGTATATAAATGTGGTCATATTCAAAATATAACTTTTAAGTATATTTAATGGTTCATATGTTGCCTGACTGTTTTCTTTTATGCTCTAACGCGTCTCACAATTTTGGTTCATTTTGATTGTGCCATAAATCGTTTTTATTTTTTGCAAGGTCAAACTTTTAGTTATGAACGTTTCTGTGATTGATATTGCAAAAACACGTGTTGTACTCACAGAATGTCTGGTTTATTGTTGTTTGTAATTAGTGTATATTAGTATCAGATATCAAAGCTAATTTAACATATATATGTAATTATGGATAAGTACATTTTGAGGACAAAACAATATTCGCGTAGGATATGCTTGCTTGATTAGTAATGTTTAACGATTGTTTACCTCTATTGTCCATATCGTGGCAGTCAGTTTCTATTCGTGGAGGAAACCGAAGTACACAGAGAAAACCACCGAATTCATATCCTCCTTGTTGTCAGGGAAGTGCTTGATATAGGTGAACTTCTTAGGCCACTCAGCTAACCAGTCCGCGCCGCGTATAATATGAACATTCCTACCGATTATTAAGATCCTGGTGTGATGTCGTAAATTCATGGGAGATGTCCGCTGTTATTCTGCGGTAAACATGTTGTGATGTACTATTATACTATTTATTTATGTACTTCTCTGTTCTGAGAGTTCTTGTTTGTACGGTATTCCTCTCACGTAGTGTTGTCATTTTTATCGGTATTTTTAACATGAGCGGGAGGTTTGGCTAGCCATAAAACCTGGTTCAGCCAATTATTGTTTTCTTAAAATGTCCTGTACAAAGTCAGGAATATGGCAATTGTTATATATAGTCCTTTTCTATGTATGTTGGCGTTTGCTTTTGTTGTAGTTCAGTGTTTCTGTTGTTCAGTTGTTTTCCTCTTATATTTGACGTGTTTTCCTCGGTTTAAGTTTGTTACCCGGATTTTTATTATTTTGCTTTATCGAATTATGATTATTGAACAACGGTTTACTACCGTTGCCTTTATTTAACCATTAAAACAATTAGAACAAAAGCACTCTTGGAAAAATAAAACTGATTTCATCATTGCCTTTTCCAGTATGTCATGAGTAGTTTTTGCTTTATCTTTCCATAATAAACGAGAAATGTATTACATATGCAGATAGAAGATTGGAATACTATTTACTTCATGCCTTTTATTATAAAATATATAACTAGAAATTTGTTCTTGCAAAATTTCCATTTTAAGATAGATCATAGGATTCTACACCATGTAATTCATTTTCATTTAATTTCAAATTTAAGGAAACTGAACTATGTTCTTTTTGTTCATCAATCAGAAAAAAATACTGTTTGCATTTTTAAGAATGTAATGTTGTATTAAATATCTTGCTATCCATGGTAGACTGTATTATATAATAGGAAAAAAGTAAAATAAAAAAAAATACCGAACTCCGAGAAAAATTCTAAACGGAAAGTCCCTAAGCAAATGGCAAAAAACAAAAGCTCAAACACATCAAACGAATGGATAACAACTGTCATAAAACTGACTTGGTACAGGCATTTTCTTATGTAGAAAATGATGGATCAAACCTGGTTCTATAGCTAGGTAAACCTCTCACTTGTATGGCAGTCGCATAAAATTCCATTATATTGACAACGATGTGTGAAGAAAACAGACATAATAGGTAATAATGTCAAAATAGGGGTACAGCAGATAACTTTGTGGTATAATCTTAATCACTATAAAAACAAGCAAATATGTCAACAAAGGCAAACAAAAACGAACAAAGGCAAAGCTCATTAGAAAAAGCGAAAGACAAGAATACAAAAATTTACCATAGCACAACAACACAATGACGGGATGTACAAGTAGCGATCCCCTTCAAATGAATACTGCCAAATATAGGTTTAACAGTAAAAGTAAAAATTTATAAAGACTAATATATGAATATTATAACACTGTATTAAGATGATAAACAACGTCCATACATTGTACCTAGAATTAAACTTCAAGACCATCGTGTATTATTTGTGAAGATGATACGGAATATTTATCAACAAGGGTTTGGTATCTTCCGATGAACTTTTTTAGAAAAAGGACGAGACGTGCTTTGACACACCCCTGGTTCATCAACTTTCTGCTTATACACTGGTGACGTTTTACAAAGTCTGAGTAGCAGCTGCAAGCTCTTGAATTCCGAATGAAATGGGAAATATGTAGGTAAAATTTGTATATTGCTACTATAAGGTGGTGTAAATTGATAATTTCAAAATTAAAATCGTCTCGTTTATCATAGATTCTGGTAGTGAGATGACCGCCTATGTCAAATTCGAGGTATAAGTCTAAAAATGAGGCAGAGGAAGCTGTGCCTGTTGTTTCTAGTTCTTGAGGATATATTAATGGAACCCAATAAAAAAAGTTTGGATTGTTAATTGAAAGAACATCATCAATATATCTGAATGTCTGAAAAGTCTACCTCCAAATTCAACAAATATGTTGTCAATAAAAATCTCCAGCATACTGACCACTTGCTCCAGATTAGATGATTCTGGTCGTATTTCCTACATGTCAAGCTCTTAATTTTACCGAAAAAGAAAAGTAAATTAATTACAAACAAATCATCACAGATCTCTCAGAAAACGAACGGAGTGCTCCATTAGAAAGAAACATGAAAATAAGACAATACCGTACAGCGGGTTTCTTTCGCGAGGAGGGGGGGGGGGGGGGGGGGGGGTAGTTTCGCTTATTTTGGCGGGTAAAGGGAAAACGCGAAATTATATGCATACTTCGGTTCTTTCTAATAGCTAAAGCGTTTTGAAAACTATCTATTTATCCCGTCCGTCGGATCAATAATGGTTTATGTTCATTTAACCAACATAAATGCGAAAGGCCATTGTTCTCTGGCTGTCAGGTGTTAATGGGTTAATTGGTTACATAATAAAATAATTAATAATATAAGAGTGTAAGGTACTGTGTCATGTATTTTGTCCTAATTAATTAAATGGGGTCAAATTATATAAAAGTTGCAAGTCACTCATGATAATTTCATGATCTAATCAGTACACCAAAGGTCCGGTCAATTTCGTAACTAATCAACCATAACATTTACCAGAGTTTTGTACACCTGTGACCAATGTCTAAGTACCGGTATTCTATGTATTAACTGTATCAAAATATAATCAATAAATAAGACGTCATGCAGGTAAAACAATCATTTAACCATAACATTGTTAATTTTTACAACTTTTTAACTGCAACCATTTCAGTATCCACCAAAATATTTAATTGGGATTAAAGAATCCGCCAAAATAAAAACCGGCAAATTTTTTCGTATACTTTGTTACCCCTAAATCGCGAAATTTTACACCCGCAAAAATAACCCGCTCTACGGTATTTTAAGAGATTCCTGACATCGGAATTGACTTGAAGAACAATTGAAATAAAGGAAAAAGTTATATCGTAACTGAGCAGGTGTAAATTGAAAAACTTTAATCTTATTTAAGATGCAGTAGTTAATCGATGATAAAATCTCATTTATGGATTTAAATAGAGAGACGGGTTGCGTCAACAGGGTAATCATCTAATGTTCTGCAAACATTATCCGCCATGCTGAAATAGACATTGAACTTAACTGATGAACATTAGTTTATGTCAGGAATTGAGGCAAGCACATCTGTGTTAATGAATGATTCTTTTGGAGACTCTTTTACTGAAGATAGATACATTTATAACTTGAGAAAGGTTCAGACTATATCTCCTTAGTTTTAAAGCACTGACCAGGGGGACGGTATAGCAAGTTCCGATTAATCTTTCAGAAAAGTAATTAGTTTCATACAAAAAAGTTTGCATTCAGTTGAAAGGAAATGAAAATATAAATTTGAATATCTGATTGATGTTTTACCGAGTATTTATTAGAAAGATGTTTGGCTTATAATTGTGCTTTGGCCATGAAATCATTGCATACTGCGAAAACTTGATTACGAGATGCTTTTATTCGCAAAATAATTGAGTTGTCATAATTTCACATATGCAAACTTCTTTTGACGAAGTATTAAGTAGAACCCTTGTTAATAAATTTATCAAATGAAGTAAGGACATCATAGGCCATATGTTTTAGAAAGTTAAATATAATGGTAAATTGTGTTTTCCAAAACAAACAAAACATGAAATTGGGTTGCAAAGACTTAACAAATTCTGTCTTACATATTCTCACTTTTGTCAATAATACCGTCTATATCATTCACATTTCATGCGATACGAAGGATACGAGGAATATAGCAAAACCGATCCGTCATGTCTGGTAAAAATTCTCACATGCCAAACTCATGACAGGTTTTTATGAAATGTTTATCAACAGTCCATAACAGTTTGCCTCTTGAACGAGTTCAATAGGCAGTTGTTTTCCTCGGTCTGGTTAAAAATATGCATCTTTTAAAACATATAATAACACTGTTATTTTCTTGTGAAACAATTTTTGGAGAATGAGTCTTATTTTCTATGTTTCTCTCGCTTTTAGTTTGTTAGTCAATTTTGTTTTGGTTTTGATGAACATCGGTTGCCAGTGACAACTATTTCGCTATGTAATTGAGTTAAATGAGTTAAATGAAGGATTGAAGGATGAACGTATATTCCAACTCTATGAACTTTGAGTTTTTATGGGAATGTGCCTTACAAAAGCATATACGGACCCCTCTGAAAGAGTTGTTGTAAGGGTTTTTGTACAGGTAGAGAGCATGGCATTTTTCTAATAGCTGACTTTAGTCATCGTTTTTATCGTCGTCTTCAGGAATTGCTCAGTGAATAAGATAATTTCTATACCCATTAGACCCTTCACATGACCAAATACTGGTACACGTCAAATTCTGTTGGTTGCATACACAGTTTTTATTGCAAGCTGTTTTACCCTTGCACGTATAAACAAGATCTTGAAGGAAATCTGATGACAAATACTATGTACCCCCATGCCTTTTATTTTAACCAGAAATTCGTTCTTACAAAATCTTTATTTCTAGATTGTTCATAGGATTCTACCATGTAATACATTTTTATTTAATTGCAAATTAAAAGAAACTGAACTTTTTACTTTTTGTTCAGGTTTCATAGAAAATAAAATGTTTAACATTTTGGGAATGTAATTTTGTACAAACTTTCTGGCTATCCGTGATAGACTGGATTAGAAATTATGACGACTTTTTCTTGCTTTTTAGCGCAAAAGAGGTTATAATTGGTGTGTCTGAGAATTTTATTAACACTAAAACAAATAAATGATATGGTGTTGCTATTTGAATACTATATATATATATAAACAATATATATGTAACACACATTGCCCACAAACATAGTGGAATAAAATAATTTGATTATTGAGTATAATACTCTGTATGTTTCGTAGCTCCTGTACAAAAAGTTACAATAGATCGGGAGTGGTAATTTCTAGAAGCAGCATTTAAATATCCAAATCAATGGTACTATATTATCCTATATCCTTATAACTTGATCAATCTTACAAGTGTTACTTAATTTTTATAATTTGTGTATATTCACAAGTTTCACCATGAAAACGAAACAATTACAAGAAAAATATATCGTTTGGAGGAAATGCCTAGACTCACATCTAAATACTAATGATAAGATCTCAAAATGAGCTTATATTGGTAGTTTTGCAATTTTGCATTAAAAGCATTAAGTTTGATATCATTCAGCAAATACGTTAAACTTTGCAATATTTCAGAAATATATATCCTGACCTGACAAGTTTACATCATGGATGAGAATATCATTGATAGATATATTTTTTTTGGAGGGGGGGGGGGGATTTTCATATGCAATCAATCAAATTAAGATCCCCGACATATTTCTCCTATAATCGAACATAAGAAGTCATTCTAATGTCAGCCTTCATAATCTCAAGTATTTATTAAGTCTGAATTATTGCAAGCATATTGACCGAGTGAAAATATATAAATTTACCGATATTGCTTTTAATGTATAAAAAAAATAACTGTTCACTTGTTCTGGTCTGTTGGCCGATAGCATTGATGTTGTCAGTTTTTATGGACTTCCTCATTTCTAATAATCTTTTGAATTTAGTATTGTTGTTATTCTGTTTTACTTCTTTATTTCAATTAATGACACTATCTTTACGAATGATATATCTCTCTTATAGTAAATATAAAAAAAGAAGATGAGGTATAACTGCCAATGAGAAAACTGTTCACAAGAGATCAAATGACACAGAAATTAACAACTATAGGTCATTGTACGGTCTACAACAATGAGCAAAGCCCATACCGCATAGTCAGCTTTAAAGTATATATTTTTTTGTAATTTAGTGGTATTTAATTTTGATTTATGAAGACTGGATTTGTGTTATTTACAAAAGAAAACCTGTTAAT